TCTCCCTCTCTGATCAGGGAAGGCACAGGACCCTCAAGTAGACCAGGTGTTTCTTAATCCTGAGGTTGTCTCTTTTCTGTTATCTGAGCGCCGGTTTGCCAGGGCTGGAGGAAAGGACATTGTGCAGAATCTAGGGAAAGGTATATTTTCAAGAGCTGGAAAGCTGTTTGTTGACATATTGAACCATCTCTTGTTTATTCTTATTTCCCCGAGCAGCTGGTCATGCAATCCCCCAAACTCAATTACCTTCTGTGAGGCTGCAGGAGCCTGACACCTCCTAGCCGTATTGATCAGTGCAGACTGGGCAAGACGTGAGAAATCCGAGAGATGCTAAGCAGCAGTTTCCGGGCTTTTCCTTCCTTAGAAGGCCTCCCCTCTCTATGATTGCAGATACACTGCCACAAATAAAGCGGAACTCTGTGACCCAAATGACTCTCTCAGTAGCCTCCTTAGAAGCCGGCTGATGACCACTAGTCACAATGGACCAGAAGTTGGACTCCGAGAGTGACCAGTGCAGAGTGGTTTTCTGACTGTAGCTCTTTGCACACACTGGGTTTTGCAAGCAATTGCATGATATGAACTCTGAATGCCATTGTAGCTAGAAAAAGTTTGGAAGGAGACACACCCAACTGTGAACAGACAGAGGAATGGGACTTGAGGGGATAGGGGGTGGGGTAGGCACAGGACTAGCTTATCTCTGTGTAGGATTTCAAGTGTTTAATCTTGTGAATATATTCCTAGATTACTTGTGTAATTATTAGACATAAATAATAGTAGAAAAACAAGAAGTTTTTTTTGAAAATAATAATTAAAAAAGAAAAGTGAGCTATTGGAAACGGTTTTCAGAGGTCATTACTGACCAAGGATCTGAGTGGTGTGAGGATTAAGCTTGTTGGGGAGAAAAGTTGCTTGGGTGGGGAGATGTTGGGGATCTTTAGAGAGAGGAAGGGAGACTGCCAGAGATAGAAGCCTAGTGGAACATACCTTTTAAAAAGAAGAAAAAATTTTCTTTCTTCTAATATAAGCAATATGGGTCCATTACAGACAAAGGAGAAAACACAGCTAAGAAAAGTAAAAGTAAAAATCTTGAATCTCATCCCTTGGGTATGCTCCTTGTTAATGTCTTGGTATACATCCTTCCAAACTATACTGTTTTCTTTGCAAAAATATCCATATTTGTTTTATACAAATCAGATAATCATTTTCACTGGTCACTGCAGATGCAATGTGATTTGTTTAATCATTAAATGAATGGTGTTCTAATATTGGCATTTTGGTTATTTCCAAGCTTTTATGATCATAAACAACCATGTTCTCTAGCTGTGCTACCTTGGGAAAGCTAGCTAATCTCTCTGTGCCTCTGGTGCCTCATCTGGAAATGAGAGTGATAATAGTTCCTACCCCACAGGGCTGTTGTCAGTAACAAATGAGATCACGTATAGAAAGTGCTGAGCACAGTGCCCAGCACAGTGAATGTTAGCTTTTATTATTAGGTGTAATCATCACCATCATCATCGTCACTGTTGTTAGGTTTCCTGTGCGTATTTTTTGGTGTAAGGGAAGGGGAGAGTGACTAGAATTTTTCTTTTTGAGGAGTATACTCCGGTGAGTTCTGGAGTCAAACAGACCTGTGTGCTTTTGGTCATGTCAATTCACCTCGCTGAGGCTCAGTTTTCTTATCTGCAAACTGAGGATTAAAAAAAAAAACCCTAGCTCACAGGGTAGCTCCTAGGATCAAAGGAGAGAATGCTGGTGAAGCCCTCACTGCAGTTCTCGGCATATGGGAAGAGTTCAAAATCGGTTGATACTATTATTAGTAGTAGTATTAGTATTAGTACTAGTATCACTGGGGTGATTCAGCCATTAGTAGGTGTGGGAAGAGGAAGAGGAAGGCTGCAGTGAACAGAGCACTTGGAGTGTTTCTAACCACTTGTTTGTTTGCAAAGAGAGGAAATGATTCTGGAATCAGACTGCCCTGGGCTCAGATCTGGCTTTGCCACGTACTAGCTCCGTGATCTTGGTCACAACTTCTCTAAGCCCCTCTCTCATTTGTAAAATGGAAATGGCATCAGTGCCTACCTGCAGGTGTTGCCAAGAGGCCTGACAGTATAAGGCAAGTGGAGTGCTTAGGCCAAGTGCCGAGGTATGGCTGGTTGCTCATCATTGTTGGCTGTTGGAGCATGGCGAGGTTTATAACGACCTGAATGCCTCCCCACCCCGGCTCTGCATCCCTTTACCTGGGCTACTTGAACTTCACCCAAAGGTTTTGCCCTCTCCAGGGCTCAGGGACCAATTCTACCCCTAGTCTAGGGGTTTAAGGGCGCCTGATTCAGAAGGCTAGAGGGCTCTGATAAACCTTCCTGCCAGTTCTATTCTGACCTTGTGCCCCAGTTCTAGAAAGCAGGCCAAAGCCCTGCTTCTGTGAGCAAGCCCTCACCTGGTATGCTCAAGGTTGGCAGGCTTTTCTCGCTAGCTGTCTGAACTCCCTGCAGTCTTGCTGTCACTTTCTAGCCCCATGGTGTGGTCACTAGCTGCCAGGTTTCCCTCCGTGACCATGACACTGGAGCACAATGGCTTTTTAATTATCATCATTGCTGGGCTCTCTTAAGTTCCCACGACCCCTCCTGGCCAACTCTGGTTTCCCTGCACCTGAACCTTTTTGAACTCTTCTGCCACAGCTCCACTCAGCCTCCAGCCCGGGTTCCCTTCCCTCTCACCCCTGCCTACTCTTGCACGGAACACCGGTTGCAGTGCCTGGCTCCCAGGACGCCAGTGTCTGCTCAGTCGCAGAGGGAGTGTCTCATTTGCTGAGCCAGGACCCTTTCCGTCTCATCTCTTTTCTTGTGTGAATCTCTTCTTTCCTTCGAGACGGCCAGAAGCGGGCACAGTGGGCTGGTGCAGCTACTGGGGTGAGGGGAAGAAGGGTGGAGTTGCATAGGCCGAGTGCTACAGTGGAGCTTCTGGAGGACTGTCAAGTGAAAGGCGGCCAGAGGCAAATGTCAGAGCCTATATAGAGGCAGGAATCTGGGACCAGAGAGACAGAGCAAGCACTAGCAAGTCAGGAGCAGTGGGGCGGGTGGGCGGGCAGGCTGGCTGGCTGGCTGGCGGGCAGGAGGGGGGCGTGGCAGGGGATAGCTAAGGGAGATTGCAGAGAACAGCTGCTGGTATTGGGTCTTACTTTAATGAACTGGCTGGGCATGGGGCATAAGTAAATTGGCCAGACCAAAAGAGCTAGGGGCGCAAAGGACACACTCTCCCGCTTCTCCCTAAATGGCAAGGTAAGATCTTTCCGGGCTTTGCCTGGTGGGAAACTGGCACGTTCAGGGATTTTTCTGAAGATGGGGGTGGGGAGGGTGGTCAACTATGACTGCTCTTTTGACTCATCTTTCCCATTGCACCAATGATTAGAGCAGCCAAGGTGCCAGCAGGAGGCCAGTATTTCTTTTACTACACCCCATCTCCACCCATGTGCAGGCTGAAGATGGGGGTTCTCAGTCATGTGACTGAGTAAGAAGGATAGAGGGCAGACAGAGTGGAGTGTTACAGGACAGTGGAGAAGAGTAGGGGCTCTGGAGCGGGATGGACCTGGGAATCTGTGTGATAGCAGGCAAATTATGAAGCTTCTATGTGCCTTAGTTTTCTCCTTTGGAAGATGAGGATAGAGTATTACCAAAATCGCTTGGTGCTGCTGTGGGGGCCAAATGAGACGATGCATGTAAAGTGGACAGCAGAGCGCTTGCCAGGCACTGCCTGCTCAATAAATGTTGGCCATTGGCATTTCTGTCACTAGGATTCTCATTATCATTATGGAGGTACACTGCACAAGATTGATGACTTGGGTGCCATTGTCCCAAATGAGCCAGTGCTCCATGTGGGGCATGCGCAGGCCCTGGGGATGTGATAACATTGTGTAATGTGTGTGTTGGTTTCCAAACTCTGTGCCAAGAAGCCCCTTCAGGGGCTGCTGCAGGGAGTGGGCCAGAGGAGTGAGGCTCTGGGACTGCCCACCCATAGGCCATCAGAGAATCTTGAAGTTTGTACTTGCTGTAGATGAGTCTTCAAGGGAGCCAGTGATCTTGGATGTCGGAGAGATAAATGAATGCAGCCTTAGAGATGCCAAAGGCTGGGCAACTCCGAGGAAAGGGTGACAGTCAAAGACATACTGTGTCTTCTTTAAGATGCAGTGACCTTATTCTAGCCCCAACCCTGGCTAATCTAGAAAGCTGGTAAAATGGGGATAATACTGCTATCTATTGTAAGATTCAAATGGGTAATGCTTGCAAATCCCTGTACATGATAGAGTTTAAAGTTAGGTAGATTGCCTAAAGTATAGTGCCTGAGACACACGAGGTGAGCGGTGAGTGGTAGTAACAGTGGTGATTTGGGGTGTTAATAAAAATTATATCAAGCAGGAATTTCAGTTCATGGAATGATGCTCTCAGTCATTGATCAGTTAAATGCCTTCCTTTTCCTGAGGAAAACATTCAAGGCCATCAGTAGTAAAATGCGGACTAAACCACTGGCAGGACTCTGAACCGTACAAATTAATCATTATCCCGGGGCAAAGGGCCTTCTCATCCAGGCCTGCCAGTATCTGGGCTGGCTTGCTAGGGCTGGAATGGGAGAGAGCCTAGCTTAGGAACCGGTACTTCTCAGAGTTTTCCAGAAGGTGGTGCTGCTGCTTCATTTGAACCAGGACAGCCCAGGCTCTTGGCTGCAGAAGTTGCCCTCATTTACGGCTTTCGTAAACTGAGAGGCGGTACTGGGTGACTGAGCCGTTTGATTTGAAAAGGATAGGGGTGGAAAGAATATTTGCTCCACCTTCAGATTTGTTTACTGTTGCACAGTTTCTTTCACCTGATAGGCCCATCTCCGATGCCCCATAGCTGGCAACACATAAAAAAGGTCTCCATCGTAAATCATTTGTCTGTTTCCCCATCTTCCTGATGCTAGATTTTGACTGCTAATCTTGTTTCCTGTTTACAGATTTTCTTGCCACTTGGGCTTCAGCAGGACCCCTGGTATAATTACTTAAGAGGCTCCCTCTACACTGTCCTGTGGCCACAGCAGATATGTCAATACCCTCACATTCACTGCGATTCAACAACATGCTGAGGGAGGAAAATGTCGACTCCCAAAACAGGAGGATGACCTTCTCTGGACCAATGATAGAGACCACAGAAGAGGTCCAAATTCTGCCTTCTCATGTACAGCCTATGGTTTCAACTTCAGCGTCAGATCCTGGAGGGATGTCCACACAGCTGACGACATCCCCAGCCTTTGACACCATGGCCACACCTCTAATGGGAGAGGCAAACTCTGGAGCAATGTCCTCACCGCTAATGCCAGTCTCAGACCCTGGGGCACTGTCCCCGTTACTAACCTCAGCTTCAGATTCAGAGGCACTGTCGCCGTTGCTGATGCCAACCTCAGACTCTGGGGTGCTGTCCCCATTGCTAATGCCAGCCTCAGATTCTGGAACACTGTCCCCGTTGCTATCCACTTCAGACTATGGATTAATGTCCCCAGGGTTGATGACAATTCCTGACTTTGCAACAATGTCCACAGTACTAATGGCAACACCAGATTCTGCAGAGATATCACCCCTGGCAATGACAGCTCCGTCCTCTGAAGCAATGTCCACACCGTTGATGCTAGCCCCAGATCCTGGAGAGATCTCCCCACTCCTAATGCCAGATGTAAACCCTGGAGAGATGTCCACACAGCCAATGCCGGGCTCTGAAGGAATGTCACCATTGCAAATTACAGATGAAGACACTGAAGCAATGTCCAAAGTGCTAATGACTGCCCTGGCCTCTGGAGAGATATCGTCACTGCTCATGTCAGGCACTGACTCTGAAGCAATCTCCTCACTGATCATGTCAGCCCTAACTTCTGGAGCAACGTCAACCCAGCCAACGAGCAACCAAGACTCTGGGGAATTGTCAACCCAGCTCATGTCAGGGCCAGAGTCTGGAGTAGTGTCTTCACCACTAATGTCAGCTCCAGGCTCTGGAGCAATGTCCTCACCGCTCCTGTCAGTCCCCGATGCTGGAGAAATGTCTACATTGTCTAAGTCAGCCCCTGACGCTGAAGCAATGTCCCCACTGCTAATGATGGCCCTCAGCTCGGGAGGGATGCCCACCCAGCTGGTACCAGCCCAAGTCTCTGGAGTGGTATCTTCACGGTTAACACAAAATCTAGACTCTCAAACTGTGTCTACTCCGCCAATGAGAGCAACAGACTCCGGGGGGATGTCCACATCGGCAGTGAGAGCCTCAGACCCTGGAGCAAGGTCAAGACCACGAATGAGAGCCTCAGCCTCTGGAAATGTGTCAACATTACTCAAGACAGTCCCGGACTCTGGAGCACTGTCTACCCCGGTGATGACAGTCACAACCTCTGGAGCAATGTCCACAGATCCAATGTCAACTGCAGCCTCTAGGGCGATGTCCATGCAGTTAACAATGGCCAAAACTTCTGGAGCCACATCCACATCCACGGGCTTTATGAAAGCCCCAGCCAAGGGGGGAATGTCCACACCGCAAAATAGAGCCCCGGCCTCTGGAACGAAGTCCACGCCACTAAGGAGAGCTCCGGCTCCTAGAGCAATGTCCACCCCGCCAAGTACAGCCCCAGTCTCTGAAACAATGTCTGTGCTACAAATGACACCCCCAGCCTCTGGGTCAGTGTCCACACTTCAAATGAGAGCGCCTGTCTCTGGAGCAATGTCCTTGTCACAAAGGAGAGCGACAGCCTCAGGAGTGACAGCTGTACCACAAATGAGAGCCTCAGCCTCTGGAGCCACGTCCACACTGTTTATGAGAGACACTACCTTGGGAGTGATGTCCGTGCCCCAGATGAGAGCTACGGCCTCGGGAGCACTGTCCAAGCCACTAACACCATCCAAAGCCCCAGAAGCAATGTTCATGCAGCAAATAACCACAGCTTCTGGAGACATCTCCACCGTGCCAATGAGAGACACGGCCTCTGGGGCCATGTCCATGCCGCAGATGTCAGACACCGCCTCTGCAGGGATGTCCACACCACTAATGAGAGGCCCAGCCTCTGGAGACACATCCACACCACAAATGACAGCCGCAGCCTCTGGAACTATGTCCGTGCCTCTAATGAGAGCCCCGGGCCCTGGAGTGATGCCCACAGTACTAATGAGATCCACAGCCTCTGAAAAGATGCCCAGTCAGCCAATGAGCACCCAAGACTCTGGGGGCATGTCCATGTCGCTCAGGAGATCCGTGACCTCTGGAGGGATGTCCCCACTGCAGATGCGAGCCCCAGCCTCTGAAATGATGTCCACACCAAAAATGAGAGCCCCAGCCTTTGGGGCTGTGTCCACACCATTGATGAGAACCTCAGATCCTGGAGAGATGTCTGCACTGCTCACAAGAGCTTCATCCTCTGGAGAGATGTCCCCAGCACTGACGAGACCCCTGGCTTCTGGAGACATAGCCACCTCTCTGAGAGCCCCAGCTTGTGGAGCAATGTCTACTCCGCAAAGGATGGCCACAGCCTCTGGAATGATGTCCATGCCACAGATGAGGGCCTCAGTCTCTGGAGCAACAGCCACATCGCTAATGAAATCCATGGCCTCCGGAGTGATGTCTGTGCCTCAAATGACAGCCACGGCCTCTGGAGGGGTGTCCATACCACCAATGAGAGCCCCAGCCCCTGGGACAACATCTATACCACAAATGATGTCCACAGCTTCTGGAGAGATGTGCACTCCATCGATGCAAGCTCCTGCCTCTGGAGTGATGTCCCCGCCATTATTAAGTGCTCCAGTCTCTGGAATTATGTCCACACCACTAAGGAGACCTTCAGCCTCTGAAGCTGTGTCCACGGAGTTAATGAGAGCTCCAGCTTCTGGAAGGATGTCCACTGCACAAGCGACAGCCATGGCCTCTGGAGGGAGGTCCAAGCCATTTGTGAGAGGCACAGCCTCTGGAACAATGCCCACGCCACTGATGTCAGCCGCGGCTTCTGGAGAGATGTCTGTGCCGCTAATGAAAAGCATGGCCTCCGGAGCAACGTCCACACTGCAAACGAGAGTTGTGAGTTCTGGATCCATGTCCTTGCCACAAATGACATACACAGCCTCTGGAGGAATGCCTGCACCACCAATGAGAGCCTCAGCTTCCGAAGCAAGGTCCACTCCGCTTATGAGAGCCTCAGCTTCTGGAATGATGTCCATGCCACTTCTGAGAGCCACAGCCTCTGGAGGAATGTCCATGCCACAGATGAGGGCCCCAGTCCCGGGAGCCACGTCCACACCAGAAATGGCAGCTGCAGCCTCTGGAATGATGTCCACTGAAGAAATCAAAGGCACAGACTCTGGGGAAGCACCTGCCCCTCACATCAAGGTTACAGCCTCTGGATCAAAGTCCACACCACACATGACTGCCACCACCCCTGAAGCAATGAAGCAACCACCAAAGGAAGTCCCATCTTTTGGCATGCTGACCCCAGCACTCTGTTACCTATTAGAAGAACAGGAAGCAGCCCGGGGCTCATGCTCTGGGGAGGAAGAGATGGAGATTGATGAGGAGAAGCAAATGAAGGGATTTTTGAATGATTCAGAGAAAATGGCCTTCCTGGTGTCTCTTCATCTGGGGGCAGCAGAAAGGTGGTCCATCTTGCAGATGGAGGTAGGCAACCCCCTCTCGGATGAAAATAAATCTTTCCTGAGTCGATCCCAGGGCTTGTATGACTCCCTGTCTGACATAGACATCCTCAGTGCGGTTCTTTGCCATCCCAAGCAGGGCCAGAAGTCAGTCAGGCAGTATGCCACTGACTTCCTGCTGCTGGCTCGACATTTGTCTTGGTCTGATGCCATTCTACGGACCAGGTTTCTGGAAGGACTCTCGGAAGCTGTTGCCACCAAAATGGCCCGGATCTTCCTGAAGGTGGCTGGCAGCCTAAAGGAGCTGATAGACAGGTCTCTCTATACTGAGTGCCAGCTGGCTGGAGAGAAGGATTCCCCGGGCAGCTCAAGCCAGGTTCTGCCATCAGCCTGTAAGCGGAATAACGAGGAGGCAATGGGGAATGAACTGAACTCTCATCAGCAGACTGAGGAGGTAATGATGGGGAAATCCACTTAAGGTTTTTGAGTTAAAAAATGAGGAAGTAATGACGGCACACACAGCATGCTCCTTTGAATAGGCTAAGGAAGAGGTGAGGGGGAGGCATTGAGCTCCTAGATTCTAACCCTCACCTGGAGTTTCATCAGCAGGCCTGGCTCTGCAGTTATTTTGGGTGTATTAATCACTTTGAGGAGCCATGCCCTACCTGAGTTACTGAGGGCCTGGGATGGTTAAAAGTCTAAGTCTTCTGATTCTCAGGGAGCTGGCTGGGCTCTGTCCCAACTCTCCACTTACTCCAATTCTAAAAGAGGGGTCATGTTTTGGGGGCTGTGTCCCACCTACAGTCACATGAGTTGTAGACCCAGGTCACTAGGGAACTGGGCTAGTCTAGTCCTCAGTCACACTTTATACAAATAAGGTACATTAGCCAAGTTCTGTGATCTAAGTTACTGAAATTATCCAGGCAGAACCCTGGAGTGATAGTGAGCATGGCTCTTACCTCTGCTGTTTTTTTTTTCTCACTCCCAGCACCAGCATGTCCCTAAACGCTGTTACTACCTGAAAGAGCATGGAGACCCTCAGGAGGGTCTGCACAACCACCTTCGACAGAGCACAGGTCATCAGAAGGCCTCCACTAACAAGTAATGCTTTCTGGATTCTTCTCCTGTGATATCCAACTCTGCTGCTAACTTCAGGACTGGTTCCTGGACCCATTCCATTCAATTACATCATTAAACCTTGTGGCCTTCCCCCTTCAGCAACCCCACTCCAGGCATATACCACCCTATCCCCCACGTGGCTGCCTTGACCTTATCTTTCACCCCACATGCCTTTGACCTGCCCCAACAATCAGAGCGTGGACTTTAAGAGTGTTTGGTGTATGAGATTCTGAACTCCCATTACTACTGAGGCCAGTCCTAGGTCCTGGTCCAGGGAAAAGTCTAGGCAGGAGAAACCGTGTCCTACCTCAAAACACCTTAGAGTGTCTTGCCATGAGTCATCAGGCAAACTTGAGGAAGCCCTGGTCCCATTCCACCTGGCAGGGGAGCCTGTAAGGAGAATGATGCCCACTCCTATATACCATCCTTTTCATCTAGTAGACTTGTCCCTATATGCCCCAACTCACAGCACCTAAAGTGAGTCTCCAGGGCCCTTGCCTTGTTTATAATCTCCATCCTGAACCATTCGTTTTGATCTATAGTAATAATCATAGTAAAGGCTAACATTTATTGATTATGTCTTGTATGACACGTACTGGGTAAACTCTTGGCAACTATCATCTCACTACATTCTTACCATAACCCAACTTGTTCTTGTGTTGTCAACTTCTGATGTCTTGATCTGTTGTCTGTGGCCCTTATCTTGTTCCTCAGTGTCAAATCTCTAGCTCTGACCTCTGGGTGACCTCCTCAGTTGTTAGTTCCCCTCACTCCCCTTGGCTATTGTGCTTGCACTCTTGATATTGTGGCCAGCACTCTTGATAAAGGTCTTGGTCTTTAAACAGGCATAGATAGTGAGAACATAATGTGAGCCGTGTTTTGCCTTCAGGCGGTGGGATTATGGGTGTTTCTATTTTCTTCTTTCTACTTCTCTGTACTTTCCAGATTCTCTACAGTAAGCATGTATTACATTTGTAATTGTAAAAGTAAATAAAGTTCACTTACAGAAAAAAAAAGAATTAACTGTGGCTAACAGAATTTGATTTATTGAGTCCTTCTTTCAATCAGTATTTATTATCTAACATGTGCCAGCCACTATTTTGGGGGACAGACAGATAAGAACCTTGATCAAATGAAAACTTTATTCCAAGGGAAGTGGGAGACAGACTATAAGCCAGAAAACACATAAGTAAGATAGATTGAAATCATGGTGAAGGCTATAAAGACAAGAAATAAGGATAATGGGGAATTTGATACTAACAGAGCCAATTTATTCAATAATAGTCCACGTAATTTGGTTACTCAAAGATCTTTGAAAAACAGTAGCAGTGACATGATTAGAAATGTATTTTAGAAAGCTAACTTGGCAACAGTTTGGAGGCAGGATGGGGGAAGGGATCATAGAGCAGTTATGAGCCCCCTACTGCAACAGTACAGGTGACTGATTCACCAGTGCCTCAATTTATGGCTGGGGCAGTGAGGATGGAAAGAGAGGGACACGGACCAATCCCTCTCTGAGGACTCAAGTCCTCTGTTCTATTATCCTAAACATTGGATCTGATTCCAGGTGAGACAGGATGGAAGAGGGCCGGACACAGCCATTCAAGGAATGACAGCAATTAACACCAAAATGTGGAAGATTCGACTCCCAGTTGGCCTTGAGGATTAAGACAGTGGGAAGTTTGACTTCTAGTAGACCTTGAGCTTCATTATATGCTCATTGTAACATATTAGTGTGATCAATAACGTGCCCGCAGGTGCCATGAGAGTCCCAACGCTAACCGCAAAAGGCCAAAGAGTAGGCAGTGGCCAAATTCCTGGGGATCCCAGCCCCTTCCCCAGAGGAGTTAGAGTGGTCCCACCTGTAGGCATGTGAAGCTACCGAGCCCATAAAAACTGGCAACACAGCGCCTCGTGGCCGCCTCTGTCTCTCCCCCTCCTCTTTGGAGATGGCCTGCACTCTGTCTATGGAGTGTGTACCTACTTTTACTCTAATCTGAGCACCCAATCCCCACACCTCATGGCCTTCTCTTACCTTTTGAAACAGCCTACACTCTATGCAGTCTGTATCTCTTTAAATAAATCTGCCTTTACTCAACTGTGGCTCACACTTGAATTCTTTCCTGCACGAAGCCAAGGACCCACACTTGGTGAGGCATGTCCCAGGGACGCAACCGAGGCCTGGGACATGGCCCTCCTCATGCCCCACATCCATTTTTCCTGCATCACAGGACGAGGAAAATGAGTCTCAGAAGAAACAGATTGTCAGATAAATTAGCAGCCCCGTGGTGATATAGACAAGAATCTGGCTCTATGGGCTGTCTGTAGATGCATCAATCCCCAGTGCTGTTGCCTTGGGAGAAAGAGGGTGTGATAAGTTGGGACCCAAATTCTAGGTAGTGGACCCAGCTTTCCCGTCTTCTCTGGCCCTGTTGGCTCACACCTGGCCCAGTCCAGGCCCAAGTGGACTTTGGATCTCCATGTTCAGCTTGAGTCACTCTTAGCTCAGGAAAGTGCTGTTGACTCTCTCCTGGAAAAGAAACTGATGATATGGAATCATAATTCATGTCTGGAACATGTATAAGGGAAGGAAAATGTCTTACAAAGGAAAGGAATTTTCTGATAGCCATGATAACGGAGAACAATAGCAATTCTTTTCTTTATTTTTCTCCCCAGTCATTCTTCCTTTTGCCTTTGCCTCTCCTGTCATTTAAGCTAACATCACTAGAGATAAATGGAATAAACAAAGCCCAGTCATACCCTGCCAGAGCCCAGTCCCTGCTCTACTACCCACCCCAAAGTTATAATTAGAAATTTCAAGAGCCACTTAGCATCTACATGGAGCTGGGCTACGGTATGCCCAGGTACTTGAGACAATTTCATTTGCTGTAAAGTAGTGTTTCAAGTTTCTCCAGGGCTCACTGGCCTATGGGTAAAAATAAGGTCCCATAAACAGTGAAAACTCAGATGTCATTGACTCCTGTCCCCACCTGTGTGTTATAGGACTTCAATCCTTTGAAGTTTTCCTCCCGTTATTTGTGGAAGACCCCAGCAGTTGCCTGTGTTCTGATAGTCTTCTGTTCTTCCATTCCTACTTTGCCTCCTGAAGGTCAGTTGCCCATATTGCCACACGAGGGTGACCCCTCCACCCTGCCCCAGCTACTGGTAGCTGACTCTGGCTGTGGGAACATGGAGGCCCCTGCTGGGGTGGGGCGTGGATTCTGCAAATCAGCCGGGGGCCTAAATGGTGCTGCCTTCTCTTTGGCTTTAGCTGAAGCCACCGATGGGTTCACTGGAGTAGGAGTTCGGGGTGGTAATTCCCGTCCCTGTGCTATGCCACACTTTGTCACCTGGACACTGAAACAGCATTACTTCTCTTCTGTATCTCAATGAGGCCCCCATGAGAAGAGCAGCTTCAGCTTCTTCCTGCAGCAAACTTTCCCTCGCTACCCCTATCCCCATGGCCTGGGCTCAGACTTTCAGACTCAGGTCCTCTACATAGAGAACAAAAGCCATCAAGTCCTCTATCTGGACCCAACCTCCAGCCCCTATTTCTATGTCTCTATCCCTTCCCCCTAAAGCACTGTAAGTCTACAGGTCTCTTCAAAACCATTATCCTCCAAGTGAATGGGTGCTACAGACTCTCTACACACCCAGTCCTGTGGCCCAGGTGGACAGCAAATGTCACACTGTCCTGGTCCTCTACCCTTCTGCCATCCTCTCACCCGCTGCTTGGTCTGTCTCTGCCCCTCATGGGCCAATAGTGTATAAGACCTTCTAAAGACCACTTCCTCCATGCAAGTATAGGCTTGGGCTGCCAGTGAATGCCTCCGACAGCTTCCAAACATTTTTGAGTCTCACTTTGGGCTCAGCTGAGATCTCACTACTCTGGACTAATTTGGTCAGATCAGATATAGTGCATCTTCCCCTCCTTCGTCCCAGTAAGCTGGAGACCTTGAAATAGTCTAAACCTTACTCTCCAGCCAGAACATTACATGTAAAATAACTGGCCCTACCTCAGAGCTACAGAGAATTTAATTTTTTTATGGCTTAGGTGTCTCCTTCCTTCTTACCAGGTCTGAAAGCTCTGCACATCTTGAGCAGCTATGGGGTGAGGGAAGCAGGCTGCTCAATCTTTTGTGATCTAATGGGGGATTTATAGGAGAATAGACATTGTAGGAGGTTGAAATGACCAGGGGAGGAGGACACATGACTTTACAGGCCATGTGATCTCTCAGGATCTCAGTTTCCTTTTCTCCAAAATGGGGATGATTATCAGTATCCTGCTAACCTCACAGCATCATGGGGTAAACATTGTGAAAGGGTTTGGAAAAATCAAATGCAAGATGTACAAATGTAAGATCTTGTTATTATTCGTCAACCTAGGCTTGGCCCTGAGGAGGTTGGGAAGTGGGTGGGATAGGGCTAGTTGGGACATGTTCAGCATCCAGTCTCTTCAGGGATTCTATTTAAACTGTGGCAGAAGATCTAAAAGTAAATCTTTGGCTGCTGACTGGCAAAAGCCATAGTTTAATGTTAACAACTATAGAGCACTTATCAGGGGTCCAAGCTCTGAACTAACTGATTTATCTGGATTATTCCATATAATCTTCAAAACAACCATGAGAAGTGGGTGCTCTCATTGATCCTATTTTATTTTATTCTTTTACCAAGAATCTCTGGCACAGAGAGGTTAAATAACTGGCCCAAGGCTATAGAACTAAAAATGAGCAGAGCTGGGACTTGAACACGTGCAGTTTGACCCCAGAGCCCCCACATGCAATCACTCCACTTATATATGCATGGCTTCATTATTCGGAGCCAGATGGCCACTGTGAAGACTTACCCTGTTACCCTGAACAAATTTGCCACCCAATAGCAGCCAACATTTGAAGCTCATAAAGTCTGAGGCCTCAGCAAAAATGGCCCTGCTTTCCCCTTTCCCCATCTTAGATCCAGATGTGAATCCTCCTAAGGGTATTTGGGGGAAGGCTTTAATATTCAAGGAAAAGAATCAATCATTGTGGGATGCTACTGAGCTCAGGAGGTTCTGCCCAGGGGCTAGCTGCAGCCCCAAAGTAGAACAGCCTCTGTTCTGAGCTCTGGCCTGAAAAGGAAGGTTAGATTCTCCCCTGGGCATCTTCCCATTGAGGAAAAAAATGCATCTTGGACCCAAGCATCTGTGGAAGAGTATAGGACTTTGAAAAGTGGAAGGGACTTTTGTGGTTACACCAAGAGCTGGCATTTCTTTCTCAGCACTTATTTTCCTCTCTTTGTCACTTCTCTCTCAAGAAAGGGAGGAATTGGGTAAAGAAGGAAGATGATCAATCATTTAGATACTCCATGCCCCTGCCTTCCAATGTCACCCTTTTCCAAACCCCTCACCTTGGAAAGTGGTCCTAGTTCTAACATTGGGGGGAATTTACACATTAAAAGGCACCATTTCATCCACCCCTCGAGCCCCTTCCCCCATGAGTGAAGCAGGTCAATTGTATGGTAAAAGATGGTAATTAGAACTTTGGTGGTGATCACTTTGTAGTGTATACAGATGTTGAGTTATAATGTATACCTGAAATTTATATAATGTTATATATCAATTTTACCTCAATTTAAAAAGGGTCTATATAAGTCAGAGTATATTTAAAGTTGTCTAGAGGCATTGCTCAATAAAAAATTAGAATATTCATATATTTTTTAAAAAGGTACCAAACACTTCTGGTTTAAGCAACTTGATAGAGATAATTTGGAGTGGCTTCTCCCATTATATACTCAAAGAAATGCTAGATAAACTGTGGGAGGAAACTCACAGCTGAGCCCAAAATAAAGAAAGGGAAATCCTCATGGGCAGAAAACTACGAGGGATCTTAATGGCAGACCAATAAGCTCTTGAGCCCTCCAGGGTGGATGTGGTAAAGCCAGAAGAGATGTAAGCTAGCTGACAGGAGAGTATTTACAGAGCACTTGAGCAGCAAAACTGTAAACTTCTAATTC